GGCGGCGTGGGCTCGGGGTGGCACCCCCGGGGCTCCGGCCCCCGCCGCGCCGCCTGCTCGCCAGGGGCCCGGGCCTGCGGGCGGGGATCAAACAGAGCAGGGAGGCAGCTGGTTGAAATTTAACCACAATATTCTCGCTCCCCATTGTTTCCAGGGAGGCCCGATATTTCCACAACAGGATTATGGCATCTGATTAACTCGCTGAGACAACAATGAGGGGCTGGGATGGGCTTCCCCTTCTAGCTGCCAAAAGGGGAAAGTAAATACAACACCCTGATTTCAGGAGCGAGGGCTTGCGGGGCCCCCCCGGTTCTCCCCCAGCTGTGTGCCGGGGAGGGGTCCGGCACGGCTCTGCTTGCACCCTCTCTGGCTCCCTAGGACCTTCCCAGGTGAGGCAGTGCCTTGGGATGCCCCCGTACACACAACGCTCTCAGGCATGTCCCTTTGCCAGCTCTTTAGTGGGCACAGGGTATGGGTCGCTCCTAGGGATATACAGAGAGGCCAGGCTGGAATAGCCTGGCCAGACGTCCAACTCTGGCTGCAGGGCTGTGCTGGCCTCAGCAGGACCAAGCAACCTGGGCAAGACAGATGCAGGCTGGGGAGCCAGCAGCACCCACGGGCTTGGGATGATGCTATCCAGTGGCCCCAGTGGACCATTTCCTTTGCAGGAGCTGCAGGCAAAGTGCAACTGGCCAGAGGTGTCTCTGTCAGGTTTTCAGATGCAGTAGCCACACTCCATCAGGTTTTCATACTGGTTTTGGGTACCCAAAACTGGTGCCCAGAGCCTCTGTGAAGTCCTGCCACTGTGCAGGATGGTGAGGCTGTCCCGCTGCTCCTGCACATGATGGAGCAAGAGAGTCTGGCCAGCTGCCTCGGGCTACCCCACTTCTATATCCATTCAGCTGATCCTTCCAGTGGAGCATCCTAAGGGCATCAGCAGAGAGAGCAGCAGAGACATGTCACAGCACCACTCCCCATCCCTGCCCCTGGCTTCCCCGGGCTGCAAATGGGGCAGAGTTTTCTGTGCATCACTGGCACAGGAAAATCAGAGCCTGGGCTAGGTCCACAGGGTCCTCCCGGCTGGTTTGTACTCCCACCAAAGGAAGGAGCCCAGCTTCCCACTTCGCTCATCACTGTTGCAAGGGTGAGGGGAACAGGGTCATCTGGGATGGCGCTGGGTCTGGGGGGTGCAGCACATCCCCAGAGAGAAGTGTCCTATGGCTGCCAATGACCCAAACCCAGACCTCCAAATAACCTCTGCAGCCTGCCAGCATGCAGTGTGCATGTCACACGAATCTGTCCCCCTCCCAGCAGCTCCAGGCTGACAGCAAGCAGCCTAGCCCTGCCCTCACTGGTACGATGTTCATGTCCCATGGCAGCCCAGGACTGCAGACAGGGAGCTGGCTTTGTCCATGACGGCAGCTCCTACCCATGCAGGGGCCCCGGCATCTTGCATCGGCTCTGGCCACAGTGAGCAGTGACAGCGTCCTGTCACTGGGTGCAGAGTCCGTCACCTCTCTGTGCAGCATTCCCAATGCCAGCCCATGTCCCTGCCGGGCAAAGCCCACTGGCACATGGGGCCAAATGGGACAGGAGCCCCAGGCACCATAGGGCAGGCAGGGCTGGGTGTGCGGGGAGGCGGCTGGAGGCTGCGACAGGGTCCGTCCAACCAGGGGTGAGGGGGAATTTCTGCCCAGGGAGCTGGTGGGAAGGGACGCCTGCTGCCGCAGCACTAGATCACAGGGAGGAATTACCTTCCAGTGGAGGTGGGAGAGACGCAGCGTCCGTCCCTGTATCGCACGGCATCTCATACAGCGCTCAGCCACTCTCAGGCACCGCCGGGACGCTTGGCCACCACGCACTGCATGTGGCTCCTGCCTGCGTCCCCAAGTCCCTCTTTCCTCTGCACCTTAGCTTTCCCCCCCACCGCATCCCTCTATCCCTGCCCCGAGCGGGAGGGCAGCATCCCGTAGACACCTCGCTGGGCTCCCGGGGCTGCCGGGGCCCGGGGGCACGGGGCTGGCACAGGCCCCGCAGGGCTGCCCGGAGCCGGGCGCTGCGCAGGGCGAGCGGGCGGCGGAGCCGGGCGATGCAGTCTAGGTGGTGCTATTTCTCTATTTTTGCACTGGACGGGTTTGCGATTTTCCTCTCCCCATTCGCTGCCTTGGTCGTCTTCTTCTCCTCTCTCTCGCTCTTTTTTTTTTTTTCTTTTCCTTTTCTAAAAATACTTGACAGCGATTGAAAGGTCCCTTTAATCGAGGCCACAGAGCCCTTATTAAGGGCACGGGTCGGGGTGCTGGGCCGTGCCCGGCATAACGGCTTCATTAAACCCTGCGAAAACTAATATTTATGGAATCAAATTTATGGAGGCCGAGGCCGAACTTGTGGCCTTTAATGTGTGTCGGGAGCTCAAATCCAGCCGGCTCCAGGGAGGAGGGGGTGGGGACAGGGAAGGAGACCCCAGTGGGACAGGATGGGACAATGAGTGGTGACACTCCCTGGAGCCGGCGGCAACCTGGGCCAGGGAGGCACCAGTGGCCCCACTCTGGAGTCTTGGGGGCTGGGGTCCCTGCGGTGGCCTGGGGGACATCGGCAGAGTTCTTTTTCCTGCTGATGTCTTCACCCTCCTCCTTTTATTTACCCCCTATCTGTGTTCCTGCAGCCCCACCTTCCCTTGCCCTGGGAGCAGGGCGAGTGGAGCAAGATCTGTACCTGCAGCAGGTCTTTACCCCCAGCCCATGCCTGCCGGGGTGCTCGCCCGTCCCTTGGGCACAGAGCCGCAGGGCTCCCTGGGGGCACTTTCTCTGCAGCAGGACAGTGCTCTTGAGCAACACCCCTGCAGCATCCCTGGGACTGGCTCCCCTGAGCTGAGAATCCTAGGGAGAAGCAGAGGCACAGCCTGAGTGCAGCTGGCAGCTGGGATGACCCTGGGTGCAGGTGCTGGTCTGCACCATCCGCTCCCCTATAGAGCCCACCAGCCACTGGCACAGTGGGATGGGAATGTCGTCTGTGTCTTCCCCCCCCCGCCCCGATGTGATATCCCCTCAGCCCCAAGGAGGACAGCTGAGCCAAAAGGCCTCGCTGGGGTGATAAGCCCTTCTCCTACAGGTCCTGGTGTGCACGGGGAGGCAGCATGAAGCCTGGGCCCAGCACAGAGCTGGGGGACCTGTTTTGGAACAGAGCAGCTCCCAGGCCAGGAGATGGAGCCCACATGGAGCAGAGGTTGCACCAGGGGACAACCTGGTGACAGAAGACACATGAAACACAGAGCTGCTAACCTCCTGCTGCCCCAGTCCTACCCACCCCCCAGCCAGTAGCAGGACCCTCCCTGGTGACAAGTGCCCATCAGGCAGACCAAAGGTGCCAAGGTAAGATGCTGGTAGATGGGAGAAGGCAGGATACAAGCCAGCTATGGCTGTCGGCACTAGCTCCCCACCCCATGGCTTCCCCTTCCCACCACCCACCCTGCCCCGCGTGCTGCTCCCTCAGAGAGGAAATATAAAAAGCAACTGGCTGCTCTCGCCCAGGGACTGGCCGGCCATGGCCCAGCAAAGGCCCTTTCATTCTCCTTCCACAGACACAGGGGCTGCTCCGGATGTTTTTGTTTCCCCCTTGCTGCCTGGGAGAGCAGGCAGCATGACTGCAGCCAGCCCAGCCGTGGGGAGCGGGGCAGCTGGGGGCACAGGTCCCTGCCCCAAGAGTTTGGCACCGCCGGCTGCAGCCTGCCTGCAGCAGTGCTGCCTGGATCTCTGCCTGCTGTTTTAGGACCTGGCTTGGGCACAGGAGTGGGGTCCCAGCCCCAAAGGAAGTGTGTGAACACAAGAGCTGGAAGAGGAGAGCAGGGGTTAATGGATGGATGGATGGATGGATGGATGGCGTGTGGAGGGGCAGAGTTGGTGCTTTGTGTCCAGGGAGCATCTGTAACTTGCTCCAGGGCTGCTCCCAGGCCTGGGAGCTTTCAGTATGTTAGTGGCTTGGTTGTCCCCTGCTCCTTGGAGGCCAGAGCATGGATTAACCCCGTATCACCTGCCCACTAACCCTGGGGGAGCTGCCTGCAAGTGGAGGGTGCCCCTCAGTCCAGCCAGGCTGCCTTTTCCAATCTACTGCTGCAAGGGCTTCATCTGGCTCCAGGCACCAGCACATGGCATGTCCCCGGTGTGGGACAAGGAGAACGTGGTCTCCAGCCCCCCCCCAGCATGCTGCCCCCTCAGTATCTGGGGGTCCCCTCATGTGCACCCCACCCCACATACTGCTGCTCAAGGTGAGGCACAGTACGGGCTGGGAGGTGCCCCATAGCTATGAGCTAGTGTCACCTCCGCACCATCCAGAGCTGTCACAAGCCCCTGGGACAGCAGGACTGGCCAGAGGGGGACCCAGCAGCACCAGGGCTGCACCCCTGCCTGGACATTGCTGGCCCAGGGGAGGACAGAGCAGAAGCAGAAGGAATCTCACTCAGACACAGCCCTTTATTGCAAACCCACACAAGAGCAGCCAAACCCCACAGCCCTCCCAGAGCCCCAGCTGTCCAACACCCACCCGGCAGCATCCCTCCCATTCCCCCCGGGTGCAGCACTGGCTCCACCATGAGGCAGTCTGGGCAAGCTCTGCACGAGGAAGAGGGAGAAAAGAGGTTCCTGAGACACCATTGAAGAAAGGAGATGCTCCATCTCCCTGGCTGGACACACCTTGGGAGGGGACCATGACCTGGGCAGGGTCCGCCAGGAGATGCAGGAGAGGAGGCAGAGGATGTGTGGGTGCTCTGCACTGCCTCTCTTGGATGCTGGGGGGAGCAGAGACCCTTGGGGTGAGTAGCAGTGACCTTTCAGCTGAAGAGCCCCTTTGCCTTCTTTGGCTTGGCCTTGGCCACAGGCAGCCGGAGCTTCTGAGCTGGGGAGGAGGCCGGCTGGAAGCGAAGGGGAGGCAGTGTCAGTCCCCCCTGGGAGGTCATGCAGGATGGGTGCGCGTGTGCAAGCAGTGACACTCCCATCATCCCTGTGGGGGAGTGCAAACCACACACACATGTGCAACCACACGCTCCCCAGCCAGGGTGCATGGGGTAGGAACCAAGCTGAGTTGCCCAGTCCTTCCTGGAGGGGCATGGGGCTGGGATGCAAGGAGGGAAGGGAGGTGCGGGCCCCATCCTGCCATTGGTACAGAAAGGCTGTTTCTAGAGCTGCACTCACCGTGGTTCCCTCGCTAGAAGATGCTGTTTCATCCTCCTGGGATGGAGGTGGTGGATGGGGGTGCCCTGTGGTTTCTGCAGCAGGTGTTGGGCCCTCAGTGTCCTCTGGTACCAGCAGAAAGAGATGCAATTTGGGATTGAGATGATGGAGCACGGGGCATTGCCCAAACCCACACCAGGAATGGTGCGTGGGTGGGGGAGCTCTGCCCATGGGGAAAAAGCAAAGGGGGAGACTGTTGCATGGGGTGAGCTGCACCCAGAGCCCTACTCCTCTTCCCCCGGATGGGGCCTCAGCCGCAGGGGGGCCGGGTGCTTCACATACTTCCCATCCCACAGCCACGGAGCTCCTCACCTGAGTGCTGCCGTTTCCGAGACTGCTTGGCCTCCTGCTGCGTCACTGCTGTGTAGAGCTGCTGCAGAGCAGAGGCGAACGCCTGCCCTTCTGCCACACCGCAGATCTGGGGCAAGCTCTGCGGGAGAGAGCAAAGGCACCATCACCCTGCCAGGAAATCACCTCCCAGCAGCCAGTTCCTGCCAGGATGCGCTGCCACGGTGCCGCAGTGGGGCAGAGAAGGGGCCGTGCATCCCTCTGCCCATCGGGCTCCATCTGCTTTGCCCCAGGGACCGTGGCACAGTTTGTGGGGCCAGCCAGTGCTGGCACTGGGCAGGACGTGGCTGCTCCCCAGTCGTGCACACACACGCACACACGCATGTGCGCACACCTGCTCCGGCCGGCCGGCTGCCTTCCCATTCAGAGGCAGACTGCAGAGGCTTTCGAGTCATTCATGAAGCGCTGGAGATAAGATCGCACGGGAAGGGCTGTGGCTTCCCGGGCTAGAGCATCGCAGGGGCTACAGCTCACCGATAAGGACAGCAAGCCCTGGGCAGGGGCAGGACCTCGGCCTGAGGTGGGGATGGGGACCCCCTGCCTGCCACAACTGCCTCCAGCGATGGCAATGTAGGCAGCACAAGTCATCCCCGGTAGTCCCATGGCAAGTGAGGGCAATGCGGCAGCAAGATGAGGAATGCCCAGGTTTGCTCCCAGGCTGCCAGAGCAACTCCTGCCTCCCTGCAAACATTTTTTCTCCATCCAGGCTTGGTGCGGGGAAGCCTCCCTCCTTCTGCCCACAACCCCCGCCAGGGCTGCGGGATGCCACCCTCGCCCTCCGGGCCATGCCAATATGCACGGAAGACCTCAGCTGGTGAGGCTGGCAGGCTGGGCAAGCACCACGCTCCACTGAGAACCTAACGCAGCACACAGCCAGCAAACAAACACGTGCAGGGATGGGGAAATGCATGTGTGCCCTGGAAGGGGTGGCTGCACAGGGGCGTGTAGGGCACGCTATGGGTGCACACGTGCAGGTGAGTGTGAGTATGCGTGCATGCATGGGGGCTGAGCGCGCAGCCGTGGGTAGATGAGTATGGCTCTGGGTGCATGCATGGCTGGTTGTGTGGCTGTGTGTGTGTGTGTGTGTGTGTGTCAAAGGTCTGCACACTAATCTCTGCTCCACTCCACACCCAGGCAGCAGGAGAACAAAGTGTAACAGATAAGGCTGGATCCTCTCTGGGCCAGAGGAGCGGGGAGGGGATGGGGACGCTCAGACCCACTCAAGGCCAGAGTCCAAAGCCTGGCCCCAGCTTCCCAGTGGCAGAAAGGGCAGGCTGAGCCCCCCTTGCTGCTCCCTGCCAGATGCAGAGGGAGGGCAGGGCTGATGCCAGGATGGGTTGGCTGCTGCCCAGAAAGGCGCTTTCCCCACAGGTCTCATCCCTCCTGCTGGAGCCGTGGGCATGAAAGGCCCCTTAGCTGTAGGACACACATGGCACCACCGTCTGCTTTTTGCCCAGCTCAGCTTTTGTGCAGGGACCTCCCTGTGTCCCTGCCCACTGCCACAGGAGGGAGTGATGCTCTGATCCCAGCGCCCTGCCAGCATCCCCGGGATTGCTTGCCACTGGGCAAACACACCTCTCAGCCCAGCCTCTGAGCCGTGACCTGTGCTGGCCCATCACAAGGTCCCAGGGAGGAGAAGGGATGCTGAGCACCTTGGACACCTCGGGGATGCTCTTGCCCAGGGTGTCTCATCCCACGGGGCCAGGGTTGCACCCAAGGTTGCAAAAGCAGCATCCGAGACCGGGAAGGCGACTGCACTTCAAAGGCAGGAGAGGGGCTGGCAACGGGTGGCTGACACAGCCAAGATCAAAGGCACAAGCTGGAGTCATAATTCAGAGAAAAGCAAACAGCAGCTCCCAGGAAAGCCGTGAACGGTGGCGGAGTGAGCAAAGTGTACTAGATAGCACTGCGTGGGTCAATGCCCCGGGAGGGCGGGAGAGTCTGCTGTGGAGCCACCTGGCCCTGGGTGCCACTACCTTGCTGCCTATCCCCTCTCCCTGCCACCAAAGGGTCCCCAGGGAGCGATGCCCAAAGGTGATGGGGCAGGCTGTGCACCCAGGCATAGGGTGCTGCCCACCCCTCTCTGCTCCAACTCAGCCAGGACACAGGCTGCAGTGCAGGATGGCACTGGACATGCCCCGAGCCCTGGGGCTGCTCAGGCTGCTCCTCTTCCTAGCATCCGAGTGAGGATCTGGGCAGGGCAGCTCCTCTCTTGGTGCTCAGACCCAGCTGCCCTGAGCCAGCAGAGTGTCCCCGTGGTGTCTCTGGGGATGGGGCAGTGCTGTGGAGTGCCCACCGTGCTTGCAACCACCCGGTGTCCCCGAGACCAGCATACAGGCACCCGCTGGGGTGGCACCCTGGGGAGGTGCTGGGACAAGAGAGCCCAGTGCTACCAGTCCCGCAGGGAGGGATGGGCATCTGGGCTGGCACAGGGGTCTGCAGGTGCAGGGCACCCACTGGCCATGCCTTCGGGGAGGGCCCAGCTCCAGCAAGCCCAGGGTGGAATTTGAGAGTCACTGGCCACCTCCTGCCACTGCCCTTCCCGGCGGCTCGAGCCTGTGGGCTCAGAGCCATCGGGCCGCCGGAGCTGGCCCGCAGCGGGATGGGAGGGCCGCGCTTCACAGCCCCGGAGGGAAATGGGTTTATAACCAGAACTGGAAGCGTTTCCCTGCAGAGCTGTGACTCAGCAGGGAAGCAGAGCGTGCTGTGCCAGCCACCGGCCACCTGATGGCCCCGGAGGCTGAGAGGGACAAGGAGGTGTCCCCAGAAAGGGCTGGGTGGGGGACAAGCCCTGAGTACTGGTGACTTGCCCCTCCCTCCTTGCCCCACTGCCCCAATACATGCCCGAGCTGAATCCCGCTGCAGCCAACTTGTTGCCCCTGCTGCGATGTCAGCCCTGGCCTCCGGTGACTTGTTTTTCTCTGATTACCCATCTCTGGGATAAACATGATGCCTGAGGTCTGGGGAGCAGCACGAGCAGAGAGCTGGCACCCGGGGGAGTGCCGGCCGGGTTGCCCCACGCGTCTCACTGGGGAGCGATGCTCAGGGAGCTGGCACGGCTTGTCCCCTGTGTTATGACTACCTGGCCACAAGGCCAAGTGGGATGCCCTGGTATCAGGCGTGACTCAAGGTTGCGGCAGCGGCGTGGGAGGCACCGCAGCACACCCTGAACTGCGATTAGCCCAGCCTGGGGGGGGGCTGCCCAGTGAAGGGGGGGCAGGCGCCTGACCTTGTGCCAGGAGCAAGCCACGCTCACCAGCAGCCCCACAGCAGTGGGGACAGCTCACGGGGAGCTGGACTGCAGCCTCACTCAGTGCCCCTATCCCGAGGGCTCTGCTATGGGGCTGCACCCCAGATTGGGGGGGTGGCAGGGCTAATGGTGGGCAGAGTACTGCATCCATCTCCCAGGCATCCTCCCTTCGCCCACCCCTGCCCGGACTCCCTTCTCAAGAGGCCATAAGAGATGGCGATTTTGATGTGCTCTTGACAGCATGAGCAGAAGGGGCATGTCACCCAGCCTGGCACCGTGCCACCAATGCAGAAGCATCACCTTCCCCTGGCCTGGGCCGGGGGGGTGGTTTGCAGGCAGGCTGGACCATGCTGGGCCCCCGTGCTGGTGCCAAGCACCAGAGTCTAAATCGGTCGTGCTCAAAGCTGGGGACTGACCCTTTCATTATCACACCAGACGTTCGAAGCGGTTACCAACATTCTTCACTACAAACCCCACATTCCTATTTTTTAATATATTTTTAACTGGAAAACAGAGCGAACGGGGCCTGTTTGGAAATTACAGCCTGGCTGCTGTGGCTTGTATGTCAGATCTGCCCACATTCCCGTGGCCAGCCTCAGCACATGCTCCACAGGGGCACACTTAATAATTCCTGCCGGGGCTGGGAGCCAAGGGGTGTGGGCCGGGGGGGGGGGGGGGCCGGGCTTCCCTGGGCTCCCCCATCCAGCGGGCTCTGCGGAAGCGGCGTGGTGGAGCAGCAGCCCGGGAATGGTGCACTGGCTCTCCAGCAATGGGCATGGCTGCCACTGTGCTGGCACAGGCAAAGCCCGGAGATGCTGCGGCAGCCCGCGGTGGGCAGGGGAAGGGCTCCATGGCCGGGGCGTTCCTGTGCCTAGTGGCCAGGCTGCCGTCGGTGCTCTCCCCTGCTGCGAGCTCTGTGTGTGCTCCTGGGAACGGGGCCGGTGTGGCTCGCTGGATGTGTGCTGGGCATCTCTGCCCATGGTCGTACCAGTGTTGGTCAGGCTGGGGAAGGATCCACCCTAGGATCCAGGTAGCTGAGCACCGATGTGTGCTAGCCACTCACCCTGCCTCTGCCAACAGCAGCGGACCAAAGGATCCCGCCAGGATCTGCCTGCGGAGGATAGAGATGGAGGGGGTTGAACTGCTCCCTTCCAGCTGGGATCAAGGGCGGGCAAAGGGGCAGCTCATCTCCCCAGGATGGAGCAGGGCACACCAGTCTGGCCTCCTGCCCCAGCTCCCTGGTGGGGCAGTGACCTTCTCTCTCAGAGCAAAGCTGCCCCAAAGCACCCCAAGCTGCCCCATACTGAATGCCGATGCCCTTTCCCAGCTCCTCCAGCCCTTGGACCTGCTCGCACACGCTCACCCCAGTTTGCAGCAGTCCCTGGGGCATTGCGTACCCCAGCGGCGGATGGCTAAGGGACCTGCCCTGAGCTTGCACTGTCCCCATCATCCCCTACCACGCACATCCCTGGGGATGCGCAGCAGCAGCAGCTGGGAGAGCTGGCGGTGCTGCCAGCCCGCCCGTGGAGCAGGCAGGGGCAGGATGGCCAGTGCTTCCCAGGCAGGGAGCCAGGCTGAGCACACCTGGCAGGAAGCAGCGGTGCCGGCAGGGGAAGGCAGCCGGAGAGCTGCCGAGAGGTGAAGGGGTCACCCCGGGGAAGAGCGGGCAGTGAGGCCGGGACGGCAGAGCATCCCCGCTCGACCCAGCCCAGCCCGGCATGGCCCAGCACTCCTCCCAGCACTGCTCCGGCCCTGCTGTGGGCAATGTTTTCCTTTCCCCCTGACTTTCGGGGCCTTTCCAGCGAGCAAATGTCAGGCGCATAAAGAGCGGC